CACACACACACACACACACACACACACACATAAATTAATTAATTAATTAAAAAATAAATAAAAACACTGATATGCTTTCAGTTCTCCATGTTATTCAACATTTAAAGAAAAAAATTACTAGTCTATTACAATTATAATTCTGGAATATGTAATGGAAAAACTCTTCACTGATGCCACAAAGGAAAACAGAACAACTCTGAGCTGAGCTTCCTTTGATTACCACTGATAGCCCTGAATCATGAAAAGTTGCTAGGGAAATGCTTCTCCTGAGATCCTAGAAAACAGGGATTCCAGAATGTCCCTGGATTGTGTACATCTTCCCTCCCACATTCCATTTTGCGCTGTGCTTCATAAGAATTGAAAGGAGATTCTCCCTTTTTGTACAAACATGCAGTTCTTAAACCTTTGAAAGTGATGCACTTCTGTGAGTATGAGTTAGACAAAGATATCTGTGAACCTCACTAGAAAGCATGGCAGCCCAGAAGAGAAGGAAACATTTTTCACATCTCTTAAATCTCAGAAGTAGGCACTTCATATGAGTCTTACCTGCAACATGGCCCTCGCTGACCCCTGCAGCTGATGCTGCACATCTGAGATGAGCTCCCTCAAGTATTGGACCTCCCGGGCCAGCTGCTTTTCAGAATCTTCCAGGACCCTCAGAACATCTTTTTCCTCTTTCTTCAGTTTATGCAAGTACTCTTTCTCCTCAGAGTCCAGGATATTTCTCATTTTCTTAAACTCAGCCTCAACTTCTTCTCTCTCCTCCTGTATTTGATTCTTTAGGCATGAGAAAGAGACAGGCAGTCAGTCATGCGAGGTTGACAGCCAGGAAAATATTTTTTTTCACAATTAATTTCAAAGGGCGAGGGAGGTGGACAGGAGCAGCTCTTAGGGAAGCACAGTGTTCCTGTAGCTTTCCCTTCCTGCCAATAAAATCCATTACATTAAGGTAAATGTTCTCAAGGCTTCATGACCCAAATGATACACCCCGAGAAAATGCTTGCACAGGATTCATCAAATGACTTCAGGATTCCATAAAGGCCACAGAATAAAGAAGGGATGTCCTCCCCTGGACCCTGCCAGATTTCTGGCTAACACCCTGAGGAATTGTGAAATCCTGCCTTCCAGGAAGTTCTTTCTTCTTCAATATGAGCTTCCCACTTCTCCATCTCTTTCTCATCCTTCTTCAGCTTTTCTAGCACTTTACCAAGCATCTCCTGTGAGAAAAGAATTACAGCAGAGTCAAGCTATGAGCTCCTCAGCACCTGGAGAGTGGATGAATGTGGGTGTAATCTAGCTGATCTGGGCTAGAGAGATAGCTCAGTGGTCTAAGTGCCTGGCTGGCAAGCAGAAGGACATGGTTTCCATCCCTGGTATCACTGTGCTTGCCACGTATACCAGGCACTGTGGTACACACCTCTCATCCCAGTTCTCAGTAAGGTGAAATAGGAGGATTACTATTGTTCCAAGCTGTGTAAGGATGCCCTGCATTGGGCTAGGGAGATATCTCAGTGGCATAAGTGCCTACCCAGCAAGCGCAAGGTTCCAAGTTTGATCCCCAGTACCGCAAAAGAAGAGAGAGAGAGAGAGAGAGAGAGAGAGAGAGAGAGAGAGAGAGAGAGA